CCACGGGATTTGGGAAGACCATAGTTGTCGAACTTTGACATCTACAAAACGGGAGAAAAACAAATTCAAGTTAGTTGATCGATTGAGTCCTTAATAAATCACCCAAATGAGATATTAAGGCTACGACCCAACACAATACGCTACAACCTAGAAAAGGGATGCCGTAATCTAGTTGCATAATATTTGAAGGTAAGTGAATGACGATTCACTAATTTCCACCATGAAAAACGAAAAAGAAATTTAAGTTTTAAATATATGAAAACTCCTAGATCCTTTTAGATTCATTGAACATTTCAATGGCATGTTTAAATCTTGATATGTCCCTCTAGGTTGTGACTGGGATGACGAGGATCACAAAGCGGGTGTGAATAACCATGCAAACTTACATGGTGCGCTCACATGTTACGGTCACCTATTCGATCACCGAACTATGACAAACATTGAGTCACCCTTTTCCACCTTCGCTTAGAACCATTTAGTGTGCCGGTAAACCACACACGCTCCACTAACGTCTCTGCAAGGGTACAAAGTGTAATTTCATGGAATTGCATCAATTCACTTTTGCCTAAAGTAACTAAGATTGGGAATTTGAAAAACATTTAGTTACTTTTGTACTTCATTATACTTATAATGGAAGGTTTCTATCATATCCTACCCGTTCGGCTAACGACCCTCCACTAGTCAAGAGTGCGGTGGGTAAGAGTGGATACCCATTCAATCGCCATTTTATAGGCAATTTCCTTAAACACCCCTTATAGACCAGCTACGTGAATGAGGCCTACTAACGGTAAGACTGACTTTTACTCATATATATATATATATATATATATATATATATATATATATATATATATATATAATGTTAGACTTTTAATGTTATATATAGTATATGGTTTATTTTTACACTTTTAAAATACTATGTGGTCAAATTTAACAATTATACTTTTAATTCAATTAAATTGTAAACCAAAACTTACGGATTTATTAAATCTCCTTTAATTATACATCTTAATTAATTAATAAAATCATGAGGGTGTGATTTGAACTTTTCAAAACAATACTAGGGTTTTAGAATTTAACATTTTTAAATTAAACTTTTAATCAACTTTTAAATTCCAAAACTTGAGGGCAAGTTTTTGAAACATTTCAAAATATTAGGGTTTTAACCATTTAAATTTCAAAACCAAAACTTTTAAGTTCTAATTTAAACTATAAAACTTACATGGGCATAATTGAAACTTTTTCAAAACACAAGGATCAAATAACAAATAATATAAATTAAACAATTGATTTCATCATTATCTATATTTGACCTAATCTCATAAGATAATTACCAAATAAATTAAATAATCCATATTTATCATATAAGGAAAGTATTATTCAAAAGATTTGAAATTATCTTTTGTTTTATGAAGGATAATCACCCAAATATAATAAAAATCGGATTTTATCAAAAAAAAAATACGTTTTTGGTATTAATCCTTCAGCAAAACAGCAAGAAATCCCGATATTCCCTCTGTCTGACGCTCCGACTCGCCGTGTCACACATTGGAACTCGCCGAGTAGGGCAGAATCGCCGAGTCCAAGTGGTGACTCGCCGAGTCAGATCGAACAGAAGGCCAAAATTTGATTTTCAGCTTGAACAAACATACAAGGCATCAATACAATAGAAACCAATCAAGGCTTTGATACCACTGATGGGTTTTAGCCATAAGAACATCCTATGTGCTCATGCAAACCCTAATGCTTGGATTATTTTTCTCTATTGTACATGCTATTCATCCAAGACTTTAAACCCTATGTCTAGCATATGATAATCGATATTAACATAATAATGTGTTTAAGATATTACCTTGATTGTTATGTAGCAATAACAATCACAATTCCTTCTTGTATTGACTTTAGAAAGCTTAGAGTCACAAGTGTCACTCCTCTAATGGTTCACAAACACCAAGAGCAAGAGGATGAAGAGGAGAAGAGAATGAGGCTGCCCAAAACGTGTGGAAACCTTAACCAATTAGTTGCCCACATTTTTGGTGCCCAAGGGGTCCTTAAATAGTGAGGCTATTAGGGTTATCAAACAAGGAAACCTTAATTTGGATGCTTAAGCTCTAAGCAACCCATAGACTCCTTCCTTAAAGGCCCTTGTACGATTTCTAATGGGTTTTCCCTATAGAATTCGTCTAACCTTATATAATAAGGAAATCCATAGCCCAATTGCAATTATCTTATAATTACAATTCCAGTCCCTTAAGTTTAATTAATCTTTTTTAGCCACAAACTTAATTCTTGACTAATATTAATTAAACAATATGATTTCTCTTTTAATATATTAATAAATCATATTTAATCCTTTCTTTCCATAATTCATCCTATCAAGTTGCTTTGGTGAAGGCAAACCAAAAGGACCATGCACCATCGCGTCAAGTACATACCAAAATAGTTATGGACTTAGACACTATTCCAACATATTTATGTAACTTTGATGTAATAATAATTCATTGAAAGCCAAAAAGGAATCATTTGTATGATTAAAAATATATACATGTTGAAAATCATGTTTGTAGTAAACACTTAAAGTCAAGCAAGTCAATTAATTAGTGCAAATCATGACAGTTAAAACATTACTTCATAGTTTAAGCCTAGTACCCCACTAAGCTAGGGATTTCGGCCCTCCTAGGACTGAAATCACCTCCTAATGGAAAACATCAAACCAAAACTCCAAAGATAAGTCCATTAAGGCCAAAAACTCTAAGGATGAGCCCACTAAGGCCGAAATCATATTTGGTGGGAGAGTTAGGACTGAAATCACTTAGGGTGCAAGGTGATTTCGGTCATGCCTTGGCCGAAATCACCATATTGGCACCTTTTTAACATGATTTCGGTTAGGAAAGGATAAGGGTAGGTGTTGACCTTCTGACGGGGCGAATTTAGCTTTACTTCATTTTACCCAACACATATCCATGCAAATCATGCCATTACCCACCAGATATCCATGAAATCACTCCATCCATTTCTCCCATTCACTAGTACAAAAATGACCTACGGTCACACTTTCCGAAAAATGGCCTGTGATATTTGTTATTAAAAGTGTGGCTAAAGGTCACTAAAAAAATTTAGAGACTGTTTTTGGATACATTTAAATTAGTTTGTGTGCCCATTATATAGATAATCAAAACTTTAACCACAATTAATTATACCAAATGTGACAAATATTAGTCACACTCGACCACTGAGGCCATAGGTCACAATCAACCACAGGTATTGATTAAGATTGTCATACTTTTTATATGAGAGACAGTAGATAAACTTATCGTGACATGAGTTAGTTCTATATGTGTTTATAACCTAGTGCCTTTTTAGCCACATAACAGACAAAGTAGCTAAAAGATGATACATATGGTCACACTAAATATTTGTGTGTCCATAGGGCGGTTCTGTACTAGTTGTACTTAGTTAACATAAGAAAATAAAACAAGTTAGTATTCGTTACTTACGGTCATGTACCTTTTATTATGTGTGTCAAAATGTTATGAATTGACTTTAAGAAGAAGCAAATATTGTGTGTGTAAGTAACATTTAGTTATGATTACAGCTATTATATGTGTCTATATGTAAATATAGACACATATGTAATGTTAATTTTGGTTGTACTATTGTATTTGGAAGACTCTTAAATTTGACCATATTTATCTTTGATATCATTTGGCAGAATAGAAAATAAACAAAAAGTTCAATCATGGCATTGAATGTGTGATTATGATTATATAATTGTCATTGTTTTCGTGCTAGTGTTTGTCTAAGATTAAATAATAGTCACCATATATAAGACGAAAATGTATTGTTGTAAGTATTTATTGGTGACTTATTAATATATTTTGTACTCGGTTAAAAATCCGGTTAACATAAATAAATAACACCAAACTACCCTTTGTTAACTAGTCAACAATTTGACTTATATAGAGCCATTGAGTCCCACCCAAACTGCATTACGTATGATTAGACTTTGGGACAATTTTTGCAAAAAAAAATGTCTTTTTTCGTTTGAAGACTGTTGGAATTGTCTATCAAATGAGTTTTGGTCATATAACAGTTGGAGTGCTTGCAACATGTACAAAAAAAATAGTTAAATTTGCATCTGAAGGGCTCCTTTCGATCGACCAAAATACCTTCTAGAAGGAGACATAAATTGTGATTAGTGTCTTTACCAATTTTCGCATCAAAACACCAAAAAAGCAAAGGACCATATTTGTTATGATAAAAGAAGAAGAAAAAAAATGTGCCCATACCACTGATACTCAATGTTTAATAGTTTAATTCTAGACATGTTTGTAAAATGGTCAAAATAGATATAACAATGGTTTAATAGATGTAGATGAAATAAAATAATACAAATTCATAGAATTTAAATGGAAAATAAATTATATCAAATTAAAATGACACAAGAACATGGAACAAAACAATCACAAGGAGAGAAAAATAAAGTACAATCTCATAATTAAAAATCTCCATCAATAATCCACCATTTTGTTAAAAAAAAAATAGTTTAGAAATAAGAATATTATTGTCCATATTGGCCAAAACACCAATGAAACAAAGGAATTCTAATTCTAATTAATTGACATACAATGGACCATTTTTCCTAAGGAGAACGGAAGCTACTAGGCTTATGCAACGTATATTAAGCCAAAACACCAATCAACGTATTTCAGATTTCTCGGTTAGGTTCATGTTTATTTTACCATCCTTAGGCACTTAGGCTTATGCAACGAATATTTCAATGGATAAAAAATATCACATTTGAACTTCTACCTATTCCGTCCGTACTTTTCTTAACTTCTCAGGGGTGGTCTACGTAACCATTTAATAATTCTTTAAATATTTTATTTGCCAAAAAATCCAATTTGACCACCATGTCCCCTACCCTCTATATAAATGCTTTCACCCCCTTATTCTCTCTCCTCATATCACCCTTCCCTTTCCCTCCTTTCTGCAACTCAATGGCGGAAGCACACACCAAACGCCACCACGAAAATGACGGCGACTCTCAAATTGAAAATACAAAACGCCATAGAATTTCTTACATTAATGAACAACAAGAAACTTTGCAAGATTTATCTGATTTCTTCACAAATCTTTCTTCCGACCCATTTCTTTACTTTACCCAACAACCAGATAACGCGTCAGCCTCAAACATAAAGAAAGAACTGGTCGAAGAAGATGATGAAAAAGAAAGGGCTATTAGACACCTTTTTGAAGCTTCCGACGATGAGCTAGGAATACCCAGCAGGGTTGAGGATGGCGGAGACGACGGGGAAGTTGGTGTCTGCGGCGGAGGTGATGATGAGATCGCCGGAGAGGAATACGGGGATTTTTCGTTGGCTTTATGTGATGGGTTATGGGAGCTTGAAGATGAGGCTGCTAATTATTACACTCTGTTGCAAAGTGAACTTTTTATCCAATAGTTTTCTTTTGGGGGGGTTAGAAGTGATAAAACAGATTATGTTGGGGGATGTGGATGAAATGAGTGAGGGTGAAAAAGAAATGAATACAAGTTTTGAGATTTTCATTTTGCAACCTAGAAGCACTAAAATATCCCTTAGGTTATTGAAAACTGTTGCAACAAAAGAATGTGCATGAGTGCTTATTATATTTATTTGTTTAGATGATGAGTTTTTTTTTTTTTTTTTTTTTTCGTGTCTTCATTTGATTTTCAGTTATTCATCATTATATTAAAAGGCTTCTTGGTCGCAATATTAGGTTAGTTAGGTGGGAGCACTGTGTAATACATGATTTTTTTTTTTTTTATAATTTTAATTGTTATATTTTATTAATAATTATATGTTTAATAATTTATAAAATTGAATTTAAAAAGAATATCAATATTAGCTGTGAATGAACCAATTTTTATAAGGTTTCTACAAATTATTGTGAATTCAAAGACCAATTTTTATAAGGTTTCTACAAATTATTGTGAATTCAAAGACCAATTTTTATAAGGTTTCTACAAATTATTGTGAATTCAAAAGGAATATCCTGAAAATTATGTTTTTCAATTAAATGTTAACTTGAATTTAAATTGAATTTAATAAATTAATTGACAAATTACGTGAGAATTTATGAAGACATTTAAGTTTTCCTATTTTCTATATTATATTTTTAGATTAGATTTTTTATAATTTAATAATAAATCCAAAAAAAACTATAATTTGCTAAATAGATTTAAATTAAATTAAAAAAATTAAAAAAATGTCATGGATATATTAAATTGGGTGATGACATGTGATAAAAAAACTTTTATTTATTAGATATGATTTTTTTTAAAAACATTCAAAAATGTAAAATATAATAACCGATTTTGCTCTATTTTGTAGTTTAGTTCTTTGAGAATAATTCAATCTGATCAAACAAACGTAAATTCAGTTGGATCAACTTGAACATTTTAAAAATTATATAACTCAAATATTAACCAACTTTATAAAATAACAAAAACATTTATTTAGTTGTTAAATAAAATTAATAAAAAGCTGTTTGAAAAAATTAGAATTTTATACTTTATAGATAAAAAAACTTTTATGAATAAACAAAAATTGAGATTATTTATTTTTTAATAAACTAATAAACGATAAAAATATATATTAAGAATATAAATATTTATTAATACACATTCAATTTTATATTATTATTATTATTATTTTGGAACCACAAATTAGCTAACCTACTCTTAAATATATCATTTATGTCTCATAAGAAACTTGAACCTAAGACCTTAATAAAAACTAATCAAACCTTAAATATATCATTTATGTCTCATAAGAAACTTAAACCTATGACCTTAATAAAAACTAATCAAGCAAACAAAATAATGATTTGATTTATTGATTACTAATTCAGATATCCTAGTCAAATTAGCCAATACACTTTAACTGATTAGATAATTCAATTTTATCCAATAATAAGATACATTATTCAATTATTTAAGTATCATAAAACCAAATACACAAAAAAAAATGTCTAACTGTAACTTTAATAATCATGATATTACATTGTTATATTAAAACCAATCATTTTCGGACATGCAAACATGTACATAATATATGTTAGAGTAAATTTTACGGATAGTTCTACGGTTTATATAGTAATTTATGTAGTTGATCCCTTACTTATTTTAATTTAGACGGTTCCTATATTTTATTTTTGTTTCGCTTTTGTCAGTAATCACCTTAAATTGACTATTTTACCCTTAATATTATTTTAAAGTTATACATCCATTTTTTTTTATTAATTTTAAAAAGAAAAAAAAGAACACAACCCTAATCACCCAGTTGTCCATCCGGCCATCATATAGCCCATTTACCCATTCCATCTTCTCTTCTTTCTCTTTCTTCTTTACATTCAATAATTCTTATTTCATGGTGAAGTTGTCGAAAACAACAAACTTGTCACCGAAAACCTCCAACATGTCGTCAATCGCCTCTCTCATATTACTCATTTATCTCCTTACTATCAAACCCTAGATCTCTTCACAGTATATGCCTTGGTTGATTCCAGCGAACAAAAACCAAAAATAGAGAAGGCATATGGAGGCTTATCTCTATTGAACACAAACCACCATCACGTTTCTCTCATATCCTCTCTTTCTCTCTCTCAATCGTCGTCGTCTGGGATTCAATTTTGGATTTTAAATGTTAGAGGGGGTCATCGATCTCTTGGCGATGTTCGTCAGTGATTGTTTTGCTTTGATTCGCAGCAGTGTGACCATGCACAACATATTAAAAAAAGATATTTCATAAATATTTTTTTTTGGAATGATATTTCATAAATATCTGACATGGCTAAATTACAAGCCTTTGGTATTAAAACACAATTATATACAACTAGACGAATGTCCACACATTGCACAAAATACAAAAATATAGTTGAAATCTTTACAAATAATTGTTTTTTTTAATATAAAATGATGTTGTTAACTCTGATATAATAATTTTTGTATTAAGTTGATATAAAACATTGTTTATTTTAAACTCTATGATAATGTATATATCTTTTAAAACTTTATAATTTCAATTGTCGCTACCTGCAGGTTACTTATGAACAAAATCAAATATAATATATGGTTTAACAATATTATAGTTGTTATGATTAATTATTTATTTTTTTAAATATTTGGTTAACATTTTAATTTCTATCATTGTAATTATTTAAAACGTCAAATATTGTTTTTGTTTTTAAAGATAACAATCTAGTTTTTGTATATAATGTTATTTTTAACTGTTGTTGTAAGTTAATTTAAATTATTTATTTAGAAAATTTTAATTATTATAAAAACATATTGATGAAAAAATTTAGTTAATTTGGGATTAATGTTTAAGTTTTGCATTTAACAGTACAATTTATAACTTTTAACCATTTCCAAAATAATCTTTGGATTTTTTTATGTTTAACAGGTAAACCCCTTAACATTATAATTACTATAAAAATAGTTTTAAAATCTTTTTTAGTTAATTTAGGATTATAGTTTATTTTTTGCATTTAATTCTACACTTTATAACTTTTAACTATTTGCAAAATAATCTTTGAATTTTCTTTTATGTTTAGTTTAAATTTCGATCCAAATTAATCCTTTAACGTTATATTTAAATTAATAATTTTAAGTATTTTATACATACTATTCAAAACTTGTGGCTTTTAAATGACAATGTTTATATACAACATATTACAACTAATAAGTTAAATATAATATGTTTAAAGTTAAAAACAATTTTATAAGTAGAAGTAAAAAGATGTTATTTTAATATTGAAGTTTAGGTTAAATTAGAGTTATAATTTATGTTTTTGCACTTGTTAAACATTACTAACCAATTTATAATCATTATTAGAAAGAAGTTAAAAAGTCATTGAAGTTCCAAATGAATGTGGTGAAAAGAAAAATATCTTTTCTTTTAAACGGTATAGTAAATTAAAAAAGGCTAGCAAAAAACTAGCAAGAACAAAACGAGAACAATTAGGTCATGAGTGGATTTTGAAGCCACCCAGTTATAGTTTACTTAAGTTTATGATTCCTACTACAAAACCAATCAAAAGAGAATGAAACAATAGAATCAAACATGAACTCTCTCTTATACTTTACGATCCCAAAAACTAATGCATTCTGGGAAAAAAAAGATCTCCTTTATAGATAGATATAGATAAGAGAAAATTACTAATATAACCATTTTTCTTAATCTCTTTGTAGAAAATAGCCAAAAAAACCCAAAATTATAAAAATAACCACTAAAATTGTAGATAGATTAGTGTTATCTGCGATTTTACAAGTTGATTTGTGAAGGTACAAGCATTTAAAGTGTATGTGTGCATTAGCACTTGTACGTTCCTTGTCCATCTGTGACCACCTGCGATTTTCCCTTTTTCAAATATAAATTCCTAAAAAATTTGGAACCCTCATTTTTCTTGATTTTTCTTTGGGAAAACTCTCTCAAGCCTGTCAGAAGAAGTTATGGCTAAGTATTTGAAATCTCCGGAAAACATGGTAAGATCTTTACTCTTTGTGTGTTATAATCATCATTTATCATGTTTAGGGTATGTTTGTTTACGACTTATCCGGAAAAAAATACGAAAAAACATAAATCAAAATGTTGCCAATCCGATTTTAGTAGGTTTATAAGTTATATTTGATATTTAGCGCATTTGATAAGTAGCATTGTGGTTTTGATGCGTAAGTAGCATTGGTATTGTTAGTTTATTGAAGATATATGATTATACAAGTACATGTTGTGTATTGTGAGGTTTTACATTTGGTTTTCTTACATTATATTTGTAGTAAACAGATTTCTAATGCATCTCAAGTTGTAACTTTTTCCATTTGATGCAAGTGCCAGTATTATGTAAATACGTTAGACAATTGTGATATAAATATGATTTTTTTTTTTATAAAAGTGATTTCCGATGCATCTATAGGTTGAACCTTTGCATTTTGTAGTATGATTTTTGTATAGTTCGAACTTGATTTCTAATGCATCTTCAGGTTATTGCAAGTGAATTGTCATATTTATAAGTTTTTTTTTGATAGTTTTGTGAATTTTTAGTATAGTTAAAAAATATTAATAATGTGTTATTGAAAATAAAAATTATACCCTTTTAACATTTTTTTTTATATTTCAGTACAAGTGTGACGATGTTAAAGTTGTGGGTAATTTGAAAGGATTAGGGTGTAATATATGTGAAGTCATTGAACATTTGATGGCTACCTGACGTGAATTATTTAGCAGGACTATTTTTGGTTTTTTGTTGGATGCCCCTTCATTACAAGGAGACAACATGCTATTCCTTAAAATGTTCTTTTATCAGATACGACCAGATGCAATATTATCTACAGATGGCATAAATCGGTTGTTATTTAACGTGGGAGATATAAAAATGGATTATAGCCCTGAACAGCTTTTTTTGATCACTCGATTTATTTTTG